GGCCAGGTCCTAAATTTAGCCTGACAAGCAGACCCGGGCTTACACTAGTAGCTTCCTCGCTTGGTTTGCTTTCTTATTCCTCCTGCTCCTTCCACATCTCTAATGAAAAGGTCCTCCTTGCCCAGCCATACCCATTTCAGCCTCACCCCTTCAGCCTGGGTCTCTGACTGCTGCAGCTGGCTCTCTTCACTGCACACAGTCCCCTCAGACACTGACCCCCTGCCCAGCGCTGTTCTCATTGCTCAAGTCATTAAGCACAGACTTAGATTCTTCACAGCCATGATGGTCACCTGTAAGCACTAGGCCATCGTGCCAAGGCAGCTGCAAGCCCTTGCCCCTGCCTCACACTCCAATAACCCATCAATACTGAGCCAGAGCCACCCTGTAATGCCATGGATACGAAAGCATAACTGAGCCACCGCAGTCAACACAGCCTTAGTGATGGAACATAGCAATGAAAGGGGACAGGTACCCGGTGGTGGATGAGCCATCACAATACCAGCGAGCCCAGTGCCAGTAAAAGTTGGCTCTACTGTCTACAGTTGTAGGCTGCCAGGGATCGTTTCAGTGGAAACCGTGGTGAGTCATATTAATCTGCGAGGTGCATAACCTTGTCTGGCTTCCTTCCTCATTACATTCTCCCTGATGGGTAATGTTTGGGCTGCTGAAATCCAGACATTCCACTTTATAATAAGCAGCACAAAGGAACATGTGCTTTATTGTAGCAACCCAGTCTGTGAGAAGAAGCCACAATTAAAGCAGAATTCTAAGCCAATACATCAGTAGTCCTCCCAATCGCCACATCCACTGGAGCCTGAGAACAATGTCACCAAGACTTGGCTGTCCCTGAACTGCATGGGGAGTCAGAACTTTACTCCTGTCACTGGGCAGTCAGGAAGGCATGGAGCAAAGCAGCTGGGTCCTTTCTCTTGCTCCACAAGTGATCAGTGCCAGGAACTGAAACAGCATGCCAGAGGGGTGGCATTATTAGGCCCATTTTACAGGTGGGGAACAGAGGCACAAAGACACTAAGTGACTTGCTCATAGGTCCACAAGAAATCTGCAGCAGAGCATAGAACCAAAGTGTGGTCTCCCAAATCCTAAGCTGACACCCAAACCACAGGGCCATCTCACCACGCACACAGGTAAGGACTGTAAGTAGTGTGCCAATATGTCTCCATAAAGATGAGGTGCACTGATATCACCCCTTTTCACAACACAAGAACCAGAGGACACCCAATGAAATTAATAGACAGCAGGTTTAAAACAAAACTTTGGAAGTACTTCTTCACACAAAGCACAGCCAACCTGTGGCACTCATTGTCACAGGATGTTATGAAGACCAAAAAGAAAACTGGGCTAAAAAAAGAATCAGAGAAATGCTTGGAAGATACTTCAATCGATAGCTATTAGGCAAGATGGTTGGATGCAACACCTTCCTAGGCCTCTGACTACCTTATGCTGGGACTTGGAGGACAAGGGTATGGGTCATTTGATGATTGCCCGTTCTATTCATTCCTCCTGGGGCATCTGGCATTGGCCACTGTTGGTAGACAGGATACTGGGCTAGAAGGACCTTTGATCTGATCCAACATATACAAAATGGCAGGCTTAAAAAAAAAATCACACTAGTCCTTAAAATGTCACATGTATCAGAAATAATATGCCTCAGAAATATACATATATAGGAGAGCGGCTTTTTTGAGGGCTTATAAGTCCAACAGTGGCATATAAAATATAAACTATCCATGTCCCATTACCATGGAAGTTACCCATTTTGGTGACACTTTATATTAAGACTCCATTTTATAAAGAGTTAATAAAAACTTAATAAATGATTCGATATAAGTATGTCACAGACATGAACACTGTCGGGACATCATTCAGAGGCATTATAAATGGCTATAAGCCATGATTATAACCAACTGTTGATCTGTTGACCACGAACAATTGATTAACCATTCATTTAAACACTTATTAGGCTTTTTAACCCTTTATAAAAACTATTTATAACTGTTCCTTTAATATCAGTTGTGACTGACATTTTAAATGCATATTTAAGTATGCGTAAAGTCACCAGTTTATTTTCTTGCTGACACACAAAGATCTTTTCTGGCCTCGGAAATATAACCGGCCACCCCATGCTGTGTTTCTCATGCGCACCAGACATCAGAATGCCTGGCTGGCCTTTCGGACAGAAGAGTCTTGACTTCTGGCCTCTGCTGAGAGCCCGGCCCCATTCACACTGCTCAAAAGCCATCTTCAATTTTTAAATCAAGTCTTGTCCTCAGATAAAATGGGAAGCCAAGCACAAATGAATCCTTTCCATCACCCCGGCCCTGCAGTCCTCTGTCCAGGACTCCCATTCTGATCCCCAACCTCTGCCGTCCAGAGACACACGCATCCCCTCCCCCTACAGTTCTCTGAGCATGACACTTAAAACCTTCACCCCTTTCTCATAAGCGAAGGGCTCCCAAATGAGTGAGACACTTGACAAATGAGCAGCACTGGGCTGCGGAGAGGTCCTGATACAGAGTTGGCTTAGAGCAGTGTTTCCCAATTGGTGCTCCGTGGAACCCTGGGGTTCCCTGGAGCAAAGGGAGGGGGGTTCGGCGAGGAGCCGGCGCTCCCCCGCCCCGTCTGAAAAAGAGAGAGAGAGAGTCGGCTAGCCAGCAGAGGCATGGGTGGTGAGTTGTGTGAGCTCGTGGTGCCCATGTTCCAGCAATATTTGGAGCTGGAACAGGTCCCGACCCCCACGCCTCCATGCGTCTTCCCACCCCAGCCCCAGAGCGTCTCTCCCCCCGGTCCCATCCCGGTCCCGTCCCTGCCATGCGCAACCTTCTCTGAGCTCCTCCTTGCCAGCTGCTGCTGCCCTGCACAGCGCGCTCAAACCAGTGGGTGGGGAGATACCCGGACGTGACGTAACGTCACGGCCCGGGATTTTAAACCTGTTGGGCACTGTGTTGCGCCGCATGGCTGAGTTGCGGGTTCGGAGTCCAGGGACAGAGCACAGACTCCGTCCCGGCAAAGTGGAAGGCAGAAGGTACGGGAGAGGGAAAGGGAGGGGGAGGGAAGGGGCTTGTGCAGAGGGAAAGGGCTGGGAGACGAAGGTGCTTGTGCGGAGGGGAAGGGGAAGGCACCCCGGGAGCGCCGCAGATTAGCCGCCCACGCTCTGGGCGCGTGGCACTTGTGGGGGGGCGCCAGGCGGGGAGGTGTCGGTGGGAGGGGGACAGACTGATGCTGGGAGGGGAGAGGGGAAGGGCATTGGGGGCTAGAGGGGTGAGGGGAGCTGCTGGGAGAAGGCTTGAAAGAAGGGGTGGACATGAGGAAGGTCGGGATGGAGCAAATCATGTGAGAGAGCACAGGGGCATGAGGGGAATGGGGGCAGAGGGTGGTGATGGGTGGGCATCAGGGAAAAAGGGGGCAAAAAGGACAGAGCAAGTGAGGGAAGGGGGAGGCAGGATGCAGGGGTAAGAGAAGGTGCAGGTCCAAGGGATTCTGGGGGTGAAGCAGAAGGGCAGACACCTGCAGTGGAGGGACCACCACCAGAGGAGAGACACGGGGCAGGTTTGTAGAGGGAAGTGTTAGAGGGGATGAGGAGGGGTAGCTCACATGATCGGAGTGGGGCTACTGGAGGAGTGGGCACAAGGAGGAGAGAAGGGCTGGTGGAGGGGGGGCAGGTTGCAGGAGGGCTGAGGACAGTGAGAAGAACAGGAGTCAGGACAGCAGAGGAGGGTGAGGAGTGGGGAGGGGGGGCAGCAGGCACCCGGGGAGGAGGGGGGGCAGGTTGCAGGAGGGCTGAGGACAGTGAGAAGAACAGGAGTCAGGACAGCAGAGGAGGGTGTGGGGGAAGGGGGGGGAGAACCAGGAGCCCTGAAATGACTTCCCCTTGTCCAAAAACTCCTCATCTGGGACCAGTCAGATCCAGAGGGTGCCAGATCAGGGAGGTCCAACTCCTACCCAAGTGCCCTCCTTGCACCCTACCCCCAATCTGCTCCTGCTCCCTCCCCCTGGCCAGACACCCTACATCCAGCCTGCTTCTGCACCCTACCTACCACCCAGACCTTGATCCCTTCTGCCCCCCACCTCCTTCCCAGATCCTGCACCCCATCGCTATCCCGCTCCTTTGCAGCCCTGCCATCCACCCTAGCACCTAACACCGCTCTGACCCCAGCACCTTGCCTCACACTCCAGGACTCAGCACCACCCTGCTCCTGGCCCCAGCACTCTGCCATCCACTCTAGCACCCAGCAGCACCCTGTTCCTTGTCCCAGCACCCTGCCAGTCACCCTAGTGCCCAGCAGGACCATGTCCCTGACCACAGCACCCTGCCACCTGCCTGCCCCAGCACCTTGCCCCAGCACCCTGCCACCTGAGCCAGCATCCTTCCACCCAG